TAAATACCTTCAAGATTTCTGGCACTCAGTAAGTAGTTTTTTTGCTTCTATTCCCATCTTGTTCTTATGTATTTGTCCTTGCAACTTTAAACCCTTTTTTTCTCAGTTTTGTCCTGGGTTAATTTTATCATTAGCTCAGAAAGATAAAAATAAGTAAACCCTTTTTCATTGCCTGCAGTGGTTACATGGCTCCTGAATATGCCATGCATGGGTATTTGTCTGTGAAGACAGATGTTTTCAGCTATGGAGTTGTGGTCTTGGAGATAGTAAGTGGGAGAAAGAACCATGATAGCCGTCTTGGTGCAGAGAAGGCAGACCTCTTAAGCTATGTAAGTTAAATTTATCAGAAAAATAGCTCTGAATGTAAATCTTCAAATCCTTGTCATAATTAGTCTTCTGCTGTCTAGGTGGGCAGGGACTTATACCCTTACAGTAACATTAATTTTGGTGTCATCACAAATAAACCACAAATATTTTGCAAATTTTTGAATATGAAGACAAGCATTACTGCATATTTAATCCATTTGTTCAGATAACTTTATTTACATACATTATGAATGATTTCGATTTATAGTATAGGCACCTTATCTAATTCATTTCTTCATCCTGCTAGAAGTCTTTGCTCGAACCTTTACTACTTATCCTAGTGTTCTTTTTAATGTCACTAATCATTTGCAAATTTCAAAACACCTTCTGGAGCCCTCAGAGGTTGGCTGCCAGTGCCACCAGTGTCTTGCACACTGTTTTTCTGCTTTCATCTGCTTCTCCAGCAGTGCGAAGCAATATCATTCAGAATCCATGACATGTTGGAAGGATAGGCCATAAGTATCTGGCATCTGATATTTTGCAGTCTTCTAGACATTTCACATCTTTAATGTAAGCTCTTCTTGTTGAAATTCAGAAAGCTTAAAACTTATTGCCATTGAGGTAAAATCTGATAGGAAGTGCTGTAAAATTGACTCTCCTTAAAAGGGCCTAGTTAGGTTTCCAGATTTAAGCCTAAAAAGGTGCTATGATACGAACAGATAAAACATAATTCATAAGTTCAATCCTGACAATTTTCATGCTTTCTTACACAGGCATGGATTCTCTTTCAAGGAGGAAAGTCATTGGATCTAGTTGATCCAACCCTTGACAAGTACAATCGTGATGAGGCAGCAATGTGCATTCAGCTGGGCTTGTTATGTTGTCAGCAGACCGTTTCTGAGAGGCCGGACATGAACTCTGTTCATCTCATGCTTTCAAGTGATTCATTTACTTTGCCGAGACCAGGTAAACCTGCAATTCAAGGCCGTGCAGGACGGTGGACAACAACCTCCACCTCTGCTTTGACTAGTACTAATGCTAGTAGCATGAACACTGGTGTCACGAGGGTTTCGGGAGGCAGTAGTTTTGTCGAGGATTATTCTAGAAATTCTATATCTTATTCTTCCATTGATGAGGGTAGATGAGCTACTAGAGCTACTCATAGTTCAGTGTAATTATATCTATAGTAATCTCATATAAAGCCTTATTATTAATATAATTTAATGTTTATTATATATTTTAATTTGTTTGGCGATGTAAATTTCTTAAACTGAGCAAGCCAACTGAAAGAATTTTTTAAAATACTTTTAAAATTTTGTATGAGGCTCGGTTCATCTATTTAAGTTCATTTAATTTAATTTTTATTAATAAAATAGGAAATAATTTATTTTAAAATATTCCGTTATTACCACATTTTTGCACCTATATGAATAAAAAATTTAAACGTTGACTTTGATTTTGATGTTGATTTATTTCTTTATTCGTTTAATAATTTTCAATTTTTTATATTTTGATTAATTAATCCAAGAGGAAAGAGGACAATAACCAAAGTCAAATGGAAGGTTGACTGGGTCCTGATTGGTGGAGAAAGTGTTAGAGGTGCAACCAATTAATGCCAACCCATTTCATTGGCCTGTCCGTCACAGTCAAGGCTGTGACTGTCCAGTAACTCCCGCCAACTTTCAATTTCTTTTATTTTTTTAAATAAAAATTGTCACAATAAATAAATAAATAAATAAATAAATAAATAAATAAAATCATTGAGAATTTTGAAGAGAGTTCCCTCCTGAATCACAGATCAAGAGTGAGATGACCCAAGAAAGCACGCAATCAGCTAATAATTGCACATGCACCATTACCTTATATTATTAGCTTTTCATTGCATAAATAATCATTTTTAGTAAAGTTTTTAATTTTATAAACGAGATTAAAACATCATCGTATTTTTTTATTAAAATATATTTAAATTTTATAAATTATTTAAAAAATATTAAATATATTTTTATTATTTTTAATTAAATTTTATATTTTTATTTTAAATTAAATATATTTTTATAATTAATTATAAATTAATTATTATTAATTAAAATATTATTTATATTTATTATTAATAATTAAAATATTATTTGTGATTTTATATTTAAGTGAATTTAACATAAAGGTGGAATTATTATTTATTATTATATATCAAAATATTACATTAATATTTTATGTTATAAAATAATAAATAATATATTAATTAATTATTAATAATAAAAAATTCTTTGATTAAAAATAAAAACTTTAATTAAACATAATAAAGAATAAAACCTTATTTAATTTTTTGAATAGTTTAAATATTTTTAAATATTAAACCAATAAGTACTTTTGTATTTTTTTATTTATCATATTAAAAATTACCTCTTTTAAACATAATAGCTAAAGGCTATAATATATTTTTTCTTGCAAACCACAGCTGAAAAAATAGTTTTTTTTTTCTCTTTTAATAGGTTATAATAAATAACTTGGAAAAAGAAAAGAAATAAAAAAAAAAGGAAAGAAAACTTTTGGAAAGGCGTTTCTACTTTCTGTTTTCTGCAACATTTGGAAGACAAAAAGCTTGAACAATACAAGGCAAATTTGGTGCCAACTAGTGACCGACCCACCTCGTTTGAGAAGAGACAGAACTCTCTCTCTCTCTCTCTCTCTCTCAAACAAGAAAATTCAACTGAAGATCCAACTTGGAAGCTGTTTGCAGTTGTTGGGTCCTTCTCATTTCTGAGTAACAAAGAGATGATGAAACTGAATCCCAACTGGGAACTCAAAAGCTGCTGCAACCATGAACAAGTAGTCTTTCTTGTCACTGTCGCTGTCTGCACTGTTGTTATACTAGCGGTACATCTCTCTCAGCTTTTCTTCTTCTTCTTCTTACCAAATCTATGCCAGTTTTTCTTCTGTCTGATAAAAAAATGCCAATGGGGGTGCCTCTCTTTCTTGGGTTATGTTTTGTTGTAGTTAAAAAGTAGGAAAAGTGGGTGATCTGGGTAATTGTTGTTTCTTTTGGAATTGGGGAGGTGAGTGTGCTTGAATTCTTGAGCATCCAAAAGGTGTTGTTTTTATTCATGGAAGTTTTTGCTTTTATTCACTAAAAGCAGGTTGGTTGTTATTTCTTTTAAAGTAACATTGAATTTTTTT